CCGCCGCCATTTTCTCGACGTCTCCTCTGAGAAATTTAACTTTACCCGCGTGAATCGATACCAAGAACGTAACGAATCCTTCCTTCGCTCTGTATCGGTTGAACTTGCGGGGAGAAGAAGGAAATGCGAACTTTTTTCTTTCACAGTTAATGGAGAATATAAGCTTCGTTGTGAAATTTTTTTTTTTTTTAATTCCACTCCAATTCCAATGAGAGGGGGTTAACGAATATCGAGAGTATCGAGTTCCCATTGTTGTGAAATTTGGTATTAATTCACCTTTTGAATTTAATTCCATCCCAATTCCCAAGTGAAATATCGAACGTTGAGAGCACTGCACTTTAACCCTTTGTTGTGAAATTCAGTAGCCTTTGAATTCCACTCCAATTCCATCCAGCCAAGTATCGAATATTAAATTATAACCCCTTATTGTGAAACTTGATATATATTAACTCGAATTCGTAACTCGACATTGTATAATTTAACATTCGACGAGAAGAGGGATCGAAAATTGCTCGAACATCACAAAAATCTTTCTTCTTACAGAAAAAAAAAAAAATCTCAAACATTGCAAAGGAAAATGATCATTACATCCATTAAACCCAAAATCGAGGGGTCCCTCCCCTCCCTCCTCTCTCCCGTTTAAAACGCGATACAATTCCCTCCCCGCATTCCCCGTCTTCCATCGTACTGACGTCTATGATATTAACGATCCTTGCTTGTCGTGGGCGAGGGCAAGTAATAAATTATTGCCCCGTATATAAACAACTCGTACAACAGACGCGGCGGCAGCCAACGTCAACGCGGAAATTTGCCACCGTGACGGCACGCGACGTTGCACACAAAGAGGACCCTTGTACCAACGATCCATGCAAGCCGGCCGGCGGTTTTCCGCCAAAGTGTTCCGCGCGATACTTTCTCATCTTCATTTAATGCATAATAATTCAGAATATATCCCGCGATATATGGATGGACGATAAAATTTCCAACCCCCTCTCCTGCTGCTTACCGATGTTCACCAACACTTAACTGATGGTTAATATTTGCGATAATTATATATATATATATAAACGTACGATAATAACGATGTAATTATGTTACTTTATGCATAATATTGTTACTTATAGATGTAATTAACATTTAATTGGTTAGTAATATAATCCATAGACGCGTTAACGATAATCGGGGGAATTGGAAATTGATCCAGTGATTTAAAAAAGAAGGTGAAATTTGGATGGATAGCAAGATATTAGAGTTATTATTATTGGTGAGGATAAATTGGTCCTTTTTCCAATCTCTATTCGTTTAATAGAAATCAATTCGATGTTGATTCATTCGCTTCGAAGGCATCGATATTTTCATGGAATTGGAAACAAATTTCTTTTTTTTATTTCAATCGAAGATATTTTATTCCTTCACACACGGTCAAAGGATTCACAGTTTCATTAATAACCTCCAAGTAGCACGTCAATTCTTTTGAACTCGATCAATCCATCTTATCATCATCCATCGAATCGTATTTTCCACGTTAAAGAAACACAAATTTCCATTATTCTTAATGTTTTTCCGTGCAACTTTTGCATGATTCTTTCGCACGTGTCGACGATAAGGGTTGTAATAACGACACGCAATTAAAAATTACGGGGTCAATGCCGATGACTTCGCACACACACTCGTGTTCGCATTGCGCGATTGTTCAATGGTGTGTTCTCGCCTTTATCGTCGCCATATCGACGTAATTAACCCCGTTTGTTCCGCGATTCTCACCCTCAATTGCTCTCGATTACGTGTTGCTTCCCTTTCCTTGCGATTGCCAATTAAAAAAAAATAAATAAAAAACGTTGGAAATATTTTTGATACCAAACAGAGTCGTAAATTTTTATTTTATTTGTTATCACCGAAATGATAACGAATGATGCGTTTCCACGTGTTACAGTTCGTCGCAGAAAAATATGCCTTTAACGATTCTGTCGACGGAATGCTTGCAAACGCTCCAAACATTTTAACCATTCCATGGAACTATTTTTTTTTTTTATTGTTCTTTTTTTTTGTAGAAAGAGGATTTTCCAGTAATTTAATGGCACTTCTGAACTCGTTTCCAGCTTTTGAAAGTTTTATCTGAATTTCGTGTTCGTATTAAATTTTATTGTTATTAAGATGGCGCAAGGAAAATTATATTGCAACCTCTTTAAAACGTAAATGTTAACGGTTGATTTTAAAAAATCAAGAATTTTTTTGGTTTCTCTTATACGATCCTTAAGACGATTATATTAAGAGAACTTTTAACAATGATTTAATCGACTAGAGATGATTGTTATTATTAAATTACTTTGTCAACAATTTTGTCAATAATTTTTCCTTTCTAAAGATCCACATGAGGTGATCCATAGGTTTTCAAAATGAGGGGAGGAAAAACCGTCGAACTTTCTCCAATAACGCACCGTACGTTCGAATACGAAAATTAATGTAATTGTTTAGAAACTTGGTCTCAACGTTATTACAACAAAACGTCGAACGGCACACGAGGTGAAAATCGACAATCGACGAACTAGTTTCCTGCGAAAGGGAAGTTTGCTCGAACGGAATGGCAAGCTCGCCAAAACCCGATCGTCGATACGTTACCAAATATTTTTTCGTAACTACGAAAATTTCTATGTTTCTTCTTCCATTTCTATGTTTTAGCAAAACGTACAATGTCGATTTCCCTCCTCGTATCAATACGCATTGTACACGTATACACATCTACCCTTTACACGGTGTACAAGCTGGAAAAAAAACGCAAATGTTATAATTTTGAATTTACGCGTTTTCGTTTCGTTCATTTTGACCACGTACGTAAAATATATTCGTTTTACTTTTTTAGAATTTCTTTAAACGTCAACCAGGCAATAGAGTAATAACATCTACTCCTATCCCACCGATTCCTAAAAATGAGAATTTTCAAATGAAATAAATTGATGTTCGTTAAGAGAAATATAAACAAATAGATAGTCGATTCA